GCACCCTACACTTACTGAACTGAAATCTTAAGGGGAAAGAACGATACCCACCACATGGCAATTCATTTGTATGGACAAGCAGAAAATGAAGGTGGAGAATGGTGGGGATTGGAGGTGGGGTGCAGGGGTGACTCTGGAATCCTTCTGAGTAAGGAGGCTGCCCCAGCAAGGGCAGAGGCCAGGAAGCACCCATGAGCTTTGAGTGTTCCCAAAGCTGAACGTTTGGCTTGGTCTCCGCAGACGCAGGCAGGATGGCTCAGGGTGAGCAGGTGAGCTGGGTGGGGACCGGGTCACAGAAGCCGTCACAGGTCATAGCCAAGGTCAAATGTTTAGGCTTTGTCCCAGTGAAATAGGAGAGCATTCAAGGGCTTTACATAAGAGAGAGAGTTGATTCTACTTATGTTTTAAGAAGATTCCTCTGGTTGCTCTACAATTAAGTTCACGAACTTGCCAATGTGCGCTTACGTTGGCAGCACTGTACAAACAATTGGAGGGTAAAGTTTCATAGCCTTGGTATATCAGTGTCTCACAGCTGTGTTCATGTCAACGTGTAGTGGTGTCTGCCTCTTCCTGAGTGGCATTCATTATTATTGTTGCATATTTTTATGTGTCATTTTGAGAACGTCAGGGCTTGATCCGAACAATGAACAAACATGACATTTCTTTTTAAACTTGGCAAGAGTGGAAGTGAAATCAGGGTCATGTTATTCCAAGTTTATGAGGATAATGCCATGAAGAAAATGGTAGTGTACAAAATGAATTTACCATTTTTCTGAGGGGAGAGAAAGAGTCACTGATGAAGAGAGGCCAGGATGGCCAGTAATGAGCAGAACTGAAGAAAACATTGCAAAAATTTGTCAAATTGTGCACCAAAATCATTGGCTGACTGTGAGAAGCATAGCAGACCAAATAAACATTGATAGAGAAACAGTTAGGAAAATCTTAACTGAAAATCTTGTCATGAGAAAGGTGGGTGCAAAAATGATCCCAAACGAAAGCTCTTGCATCACAACAATGCACCAGCTTACCCAGCACTGTCTATAAGGGAGTTTTTAGCCAGTAAACAAATAACTGTATCGGAACACCCTCGCTACTCACCTGATCTGGCCCCCAATGACTTTTTTCTTTACCCAAAGATAAAGAAAATATTAAAAGGAAGACATTTTGGTGACATTCAGAACATCAAGGATAATAAGATGACAGATTTGATGGCCATTCCAGAAGAGTTCCAAAATTGCTCTGACAAGTAGACTAGATGCTGGCATCACTGCACAGCTTCCCAAGGGGAGTACTTCAAAGGTGACTGTAGTGATATTCAGCAGTGAGGTATGCAGCACTTTTTCTAGGATGAGTTCATGAACTTAACTGTCAGACCTCGCATATGGGATATATTGGACTCATGCAAAAGTGGACATAGTGGGATTAGGAGGGAAATGCTCCTATGGTATTTTAATAAAAGGTTGGTGGTGGCTCAGATGAGGTTGCTGACAGGTGGAAAAATGGATGGCCTAAAACAGGACTTGTTGATGAACTGGATGTGAGCATCCAGGAAAGAGTCCATCAGGTTTTGGTTGGAGATTGCAGGATGATGGTACCACTTACTGAAATGGGAATGTAATGTAGTAAAGAACTTGATTTTGAACATGGCAAGTTCTAGTGAGAAATTTACAGGTGAGTCTAGGAGGAATTTATAAGCCTTAGCTCAGGAGAGAAATCTGCACTAGAAACATACGTTTGGGGGTTCTTGACCTGTAGATGATTCGCAACCACAGAACCGGGTGAGAACATAAAGGAGACAGTAGAGGGAAAGACATATCCAGCTCTGGGACCCTCAACAGAGGAATATAATGGGCAAAGGAGACAGAGAAGGAAGGAGTTTTCAGCGAGGAAGGAGTGTTTAACAAAGGAGAGATTGGCTGTATGCAAGGAGTTTTGTTAAGAGGTCAAATAAATTGTCTTAGTCCACTCTGGATGCTATAACAAAATACCATGAACTGAGTGGCTTATAAACAAATTTATTTCTCACAGTTCCTCACAGGCCAGAACACCCAAGATCAAGATGCTGGAAGATTTGATGTCTTGTGACAGCCTACTTCCTGATTCATAGACAGCACCTTCTGCTGTATCCTCACATGATGGAGGGGTGGGGGTCTCTCGCTCTTGCATGTCTCTTCTTACAAGGGCACTAATCGCATTCACGAGGGCTCCACCCTTGTGGCCTAGTCACCTCCCACAGGCCATATCTAATACCATCACCTTGGGGGTTAGGACTTCAACAAATGAATTGGTAGGTGGTGGGGAAGGAGAGACACAAACATTTAGACTACAGCAACAATGGAGGCCACACATGACCAATGGTTTGGTGATATGAAGGACCTCGGTGAGAGATTTCAGTGGAACATGTTCGGGGGTGAACAGAAGAAGGAAGGAGTGAAAAAAATATCCATCGCACTTTAAAGAAATTTAGCCCAGAAGGAGACCTAAAGATGGAGTGATATTTGGAACCGTTGATCAGTTTATTTGTCTTAAACAATTGCTGCATCTATCAGTCTCTTTTGGCTTCTGTCAACAAATTACTACAATCCTCAAGGCTTAACACAGCACACATTTATCCTTTCATAGTTCTGAAGGCCAGAAGTTCCCAGTCAGTTTCACAGGACCAAAATCATGGGATTGGCCGGACTGTGCTCCCTCCATGGGCTCTGGAGTAGAATCCATGCCTTGTCCCTTCCATCTTCTGGTCTTGCTGGTATTGCTCAGTTTGAGGCCAGGTCATTCCAGTTTCTGCTTCTATGGTCACATGGCCTTCCTCTGTCCATGCCGACTCTCCTTCTGCCTCTCTTTTATAAGAACACTTCTGATTGCATTTAATCCAAGAGAATGCCCCATCTCAAGATTCTTGAGTTGAAGTCTCACTCTGTCGCCCAGACTGGAGTGCAGTGGCCGCTCCCAGCCACCACAGTCTCGACCTGCAGGGCTCCGGCGATCCTTCCGCCTCAGCCTTCCCAAGGAGCTGGAACTACAGGTGTGCGCTACCATGCCCGGCTATGGATTCTTAATTAAGATCTGCAAAGACCCTGTTTCCATGTAAGGTGACATTTATAGGTTCCAGGGCAATTATTCAGTCACTACACTGCAGTAGGCCACTACTTCATTTTTGAGACTCTGAAGTAATTTGCAGAGTTGATTATTTTTAAACACATCACTTTTTTTTATTCTAATGCTTTGGTAGGGGTTTAAAAGCCTCTACCAAAATATTTAAATATAACACTCTTTTTTCATAGAGAAGTGGCGATTATGAACTTATAATTAATATTTAAGACAATGCATAAACATCACTTTCAAGAAAAATTCAACTAATGGTTAACAGCAGGAATGGAATTTTCTTAACGTAACCAGGGTCAATTCCTGTTAATTCCAAATAACTAGAATGTATATGAGTTGAATGAGTGGAATACCCAATGTTGTGTCACTGTGTTGCCATAGACGTTATTTAATATGCAAAGCCAAATTATTTCAGCATTTAGATAATTTAGTAAAATAATGTATATGTGTGCATCAATAAAGAGATCCACAAATTATACCTGTGTGTAGTTTAAAATAGAGCCACTTGAAAGCCTATTTTTGGCATTCCATGTGTTTAGAGATTTATCTGTGTTCAGTTTTTACATCTGGGTTCGTTCTTACTCATCCTTACAATACACTAACTTGAGACTTCCTCCAGGCAGTCTTTCCTTGTCCAATCTCATCATTTCCTGCACCTGAATCTTACTTTGCCCTTTTCATGTGTCTGTCTATCCCCAAAAGACCGTATCTTATTTATCTTGGAGCCCTCTGCACCTGGCATTTCTTTTATTCTGGGCAGAACTAGTTTCTGGCTACTTTGGGCAGACACCTGGAGATAAGTAGAATCGCTAACGACCTGTCTGAATTCTAGCCCCTCCTGTGGGCCAACCCTCCTCTTCCCTCCCTATCTCGCAAGGGCACGGTAAGAAAATCAAATTCATTGGGAGCTATCCCTTTTAATTCAGCAACTTTCACTCATGCGGACTTTTCCTATGAGAAAGACTGATTTTTAAACAGTGTATGTACTATTTTTTTTTAGAGCCAATTTCCTTCACTTTGGCTTTTTTATAAATTAGCTTGTTTCTAACAAATAATTCACAAATGTAAATGAAACCCACTAAAGTCAAACACACTTCCTTTCCCCAGGGCATCCTTCCTAAAATAATTTCTAGACTGTTAAGGAAGTACTTTGAAGCAGGGTGAAATCAGGGAGAAAATATTACACTGTAAATATTCCTATACTTAACTCTGTTGGGTATTTAATCTTGTGGTCATTGTCACAGCTGCCACACCCTCTGTAGGCTGCTGAAAGACAGGAGACCTAAGTGACTCAAGCAGGTCTCCTCTCAGGGCCCTGCTTGGACACCCTCCTTTGGGGGCTGATGTCAGGCTCCCACTGGAGCAGACTGCAGAAAGTGCCCTGCTAACACGTCCATGTCAAGTTCTGGCTCCACAACTTAATTGTTGCATGACATTGAGGGAAATCACTGAACTGCTCTGATTTTTCACTTTCCTCATCCTTAAAATGGTGCCATTGGAATAAATAATCTATCTGCTGCATTGCTAAAAATATTGTAGGCATCACAATCTCTTCAATATATAGAATATCAATTCACACTCTAAATGAAAATGTCGAACTATATTCATTCTAAGATAGTTCAAATATAGTTTGCTGGTGAGAAAGCGGAAGTGACACAGATTTCCCAGATATTGATTAGAAATTGTCTTTGCCTCTTGTTCCCCCAAATATTTTTTCATTGATATATATATTTTTTTTTACAAAAACCAATTTTCCAGCATCTATTGAGCTTCAAACTATTTGCCTTAATTGTAACCAAAGTGACAAAGTGGAGGGAGGCCATCGTAGGTCAATATGGCATTGCCGGTACCCACAATTCAGTCATCCAGTCCATCATTAGATAGGATGTACTTACCACTGGATGAAGTGGTGTTCCTGGAAACATAAATTGCATCTGCTGGGCAAGCATTGCTGCTGCCGTTTTTTGCTGGATCAAATTGTTCCTCCCATTAATTTCTAGTTGAGTTTTTAAGTGTGTCGGAGGGTGAAGATACTTGCAGTTCTCTCTTGAACAACGGCCCTGTAAAACAAACAAACAAAAAAGTTTTGGTTTAGGGTTGTTGTAAGTAGCATGCGACTCCAACATCGACCATTTCACAAATGCTCCTTATGTACAAAGACAAGGACAGGGATCGTGTGTGTGTCTGTGTGTGTGTGTGTGTGTGTGTGTGTGTGTGTGTGTGTGTGTGTGTGTGTTAGGGAGGAGTGAAGCAAACATTATATGATTATCAAGGTTGCTTGAAACTATTGATCAAGGAAGCTTCCTGTGTTTTTTTCTCTTCTTTTTTTTTTTTCTTTTAATGAATTCTAAACTCTGACAATAGATTCCAAAGAAATGGGACTGCTGAGCAGAGGGAAATATCTCTCTCTTACACAATATAGAAGGCAATCAGAAGGGTATATCTATTGACCTATCAAAAGGAGTCTTTGAACCTGCTATACACTGGTTGGGACATACTAGAATGATGTCTAAATATGAGCAATTATATGACAACTGTGTGCAGAGGAGCTAGTAAAAAGAATCTTAAACAGATTAGCCGAAGACATCCTTTATTTCAACTTATTGATGAAGAGGCAAATAGTAGTACAAGGGTACATTTTTTGGTGATATATGCATAACTGAAATTCCCAGGCATGAACTTATGTAATGATCTGCAACTGCTTACCTTTCTATACAAAAACTGCCACCCTATATCCCTGCCCTATCCCGTGACAGGAATAACAAATTTGATGTCATGATGTGACACAGTGAAGAGTGTTTATGGCTAAAGTAACCATTGGAAGCTAAGCTGGCAAAATAAGATTTTAAAAAACCTAATTAGGTGACAGGTGTGCATAAAAGCAGTCTTGAAGAGTCATTGTATATGGCAGTATTTATATTTAATCCCCAAGTTTTCAAAACTACCAGTTGAGGGAATTATGTTGATGTGTGAATTATACAATTTCTGAAGAAAGAATAGTGAATTGCATTAACCAGTTTGAGTATTCTCATTCCCTAAAGAATGAGTCCATTTGCAACCAAGAAAAGAGAATATGGATTTGTTTACCAGACATAAAAATAATTTTTAAAAAAGCAAGCCTGGTGGATCTGGGGAAATGAATTTGTTTATAGTCATCCTAATTCTAAACATCTGGAGTTCTCACTCTGCTTCTCACTAATTTCAGCTGCACTTTTGGCAGCTCTGGCTTCCTCTCTGGAGTTTGCATGTGCCGTGGAGAAGGACAGACATGGGTCCCAGGCTCAGTCCCGGTGTTCTGTGCTGATCAATCAATGCTACGTGAAGGTCCACTGTTAAGTAGCCTTAGCACTGTGTCACCTTCTTCAGGGAGGATACCCAGGTGAGTGCTGAGGACATCAGAAGGAATAGGTCCTGCTTTTCTGCTAACAAGAATCTATAACAATATGTCTCCTTAGCCTCAAGTTCATGTTGTAGATGTTCCATGCAGCTTCCTGTGTAAGAATAGACATCTTGGACAAGTATTGGAAGGTTGGGTATAAAGATAGGGGTAAAATGGAATCACAACTGGAAACTGAAGCAAAGCAGTTCAAGGGATCTCTCTTTTCTTTCTTCATCTGCTTCTCTCTGCAAATCGGATCATTTTTTATTACAAATGTTAGTTTTTACTCTTTGCTTTAAGACTTCCCACAGTCTCTCTAGACCTGTCAACTTGTTACAAGCATCTCTCACTGGTTCCCTTTCCTCCCTCCCCTGACAATTGTTTCAGTCTCTCCGTGTGTTAGAATCAAATCTCCAAGAGAGCATTCAGATAGAGCCAGTGCCCACAATGGAGATGTGTGACCAGCCTCCTGATTGGCTGCCTTTATGTCAGATGGCTAAATACAGTCCTACCATCTATGCTGAGAGGTGACCACAGGGAAGCAAAACAGCAAATCAGCTGGGGGGTGAGAGGGCTGATCAGAACACATTTCTTATATAGAGGATAAGACACCACAGGCTTCCCTTACAACTTCCATCCAAACTCTCTTTAGCGACAATTGCTGCACTTAGAGGCTGACACCCAGAAAGGCTCTTGTATACAGTAAAGGGACACTTGAGGGTCTATGTACACTCACGTACAGATGGGTCTAATGGAGAGATCTGGGAATGTAGAATTCCATAGAAAGGGAGTAGAATTAGTGAAATACCCACATCCCGACGTATTGCTCTCAAATTGTGCTCACTCCTATAATTGTCAATTTGATCATTAGTCTTTTAATGTAATGCTATGTAACTACGTGTACAAATTTTGAATTTTGCTGGAAAAATACGACTTTTTTTTATAAATGCTCGATACAATTGAGACACTTAGGGAACTACATAAACTGTTTTCAGCTAATAGAAATATAGTTGACAACATTAAATTGGTAATTTATTGATGAAACCATCTTTTTCAGGAGAATTAATGTAATTTCTTCATGTCCTTACTTATACACTTGTAGTAAAGAACAGTATCGATTACCTACATGCCAGGCAATTTATATACGGTTATCTCATTTTCTCCTTCTAACAGCGGTAATGATCCTACTTACAAAATAGCAGATGAGCTCAGAAGATTAAGGAACTTTCCCAGGGTCATATAATTGGTAAGTGGTACAACTAGATTTTAAATCCAGGTCTACCTGACTCAATTATATCACTATTCCAAGCTTACTTATTAGCACTAGTTAAAATCTAGAAAGGATTAAAATCTAGCCTTATCTTATAGGATGCATAACAAAATTTTAAATACAATAAAGATATAGATGAGTACTTGGGAATGAAAAATGAATACTTGCCCAGGCCTGTGCATTACTAGAGAGATAGAGAAGTAGGAAGCTCATAGGTTCTGAGCTCATGACTGTTTTTTTCCATGCGACATGACTATAAACGAGTACTTGAATTTTTTCTTCACCTATACAATAAAAATAATTATTGGGTCTTCCTTTCAGGGTAATTGGGCAATTGAATTAATTGACACATGCACAGAAAAATGTCTGGCACACATGGTAAGCACTGAGTAAATGTTATTATTATTATCAAAGAATACCTCTATAGGACATTTTGTTTCCAGTAAGTACAAAATCACAAATTTAGTACCATTTTGACTGGTTCTTTGGTTCTTTCACAGAGTAAACCTCACATCAAAACATGATAAAGCTACTTAGTTATACTTCCTCAAGTATTTTAATTTTAAAATTATTTTCAATTCTCCAGGGTATTTCTGTAAGTATTCATATTTTAAGAGACATCCCCGAGCCCTAGTTCAATCTAGTATTGATATATATATTTATAGTATATTGTATATAAATATATTTGTATTATATATAAGTATATATTATGTATATTTATTTATTTATTTATCTATATTTGAGGCAGGGTCTCACTCTGTTGCCCAGGCTGGACTGCAGTGCTGTGATCATAGCTCACTATAGCCTGGAACTCCTGGGTTGAGGTGATCCTCCCACCTCAGCCTCCTGAGTGGCTAGTACTACAGGTATGTGCCCCTTTCTAATTTGTAAGGTTTTTTTTTTTCCCCATTACATTGAAAAGGTAGGTTTCAAATTCCTGGCCTCAAGTGATCCTTCCACCTCAGACTCCCAAAGCACTGAGCTTACAGACATGAGATTACATGCATGAACCACCACACCAGCCCAGTATTACTGTTTTGAAGAATTTTTCCCCATGGATGTCTGAGGCATACTATTCAAATGCTTGGGAAGCTCTACATAGCAGAATTTTCATGAGGGATCCTATAGGGTCGTAAAATCCTAATGGAAAAGCTGCTGTCAAGTATAATGAGCTATTTGACACAGTGAACATTTGTAAGGAAGTTTTTGTTAAGGCATAAGGTTTGCAGGATATGCATCATTGTACAAAAACTGTTGATTATCAAAGCACCTGTCATAACTGAATGGGAGAGGACAGTGTGCAGACGTGTAAAGCGTCTTTGTGTATCACTGCGAAACAACAGAGGTGTCAAAAATAGTGTCTCCTGATGTTAGTCCAAGAAATCAAAACCAAAATCTCTTGGGAAAAAAATCCTCCTTGTGGCTGCTAGCATTTGTTTTCTGTTTTGTTTTGTTATATTCCTTCTTCCCTTTTAGTTCTTGGTGAAGTAATGTTTCTGGAGAGATAAGAAAGTAGGGCCCAGGGCTTGGTGACAGGGACTGGTGCAGCTTCCAAAGGATGGAGATGGGAGAGCCCAGTGCAGAGTACATGGGAAGAGCTTTACAGGAACAGGAAGCCAGGAGCCCTGGCCAAAGCCAATCAGAGAGGTCCACACCAGGGACTAGCTCAATTCAACGGTCACTTAAGCCCACGGGAACTTTGCTCACCCCAGGTGGGTCACGCCAGGTGTGGAACCAGCACACAGTTGTAAACCTTCAGGCTGAGGTCTCATTCACTCATTCAACACATATTTACTGAGATCCCCGATGCGCCAGGCATTGTGCTCAGTGCTGCTTAAACAGAGGTGTACAAGGAGACATGGTATCTCCCTTCGTGAAGCCTGCAATCTCGTGGTGAAGACAGATATGTTAGCCAAATCATGCCACAGATCAACATTTAGTTACACATTGTGATCCATGTTCTGGAGGAGAAGGCTGAGAAGGGACAGTGGGAAGGTCTCTGGAGAAGTGATATTTAAACTGAGACCTGAAGGATGTGCAGGAACTTGGCAAGGGAGTAAGTAGTGATCAGAGTGTGTGCATGTATGTGTTATGTGTGTGTACAGAGTACATGTGTATATGGTGTGGGTATGTGGGTTGTGTGTGTACAGAGTACGTGTGTATATGGTGTGGGTATGTGGGTTGTGAGTGTACAGAGTACGTGTGTATATGGTGTGGGTATGTGGGTTGTGTGTGTACAGAGTACGTGTGTATATGGTGTGGGTATGTCGGTTGTGTGTGTACAGAGTACGTGTGTATGTGGTGTGGGTATGTGTTATGTGTGTGTACAGAGTACGTGTGTATGTGGTGTGGGTATGTGTTATGTGTGTGTACAGAGTACGTGTGTATATGGTGTGGGTATGTGTTATGTGTGTGTACAGAGTACGTGTGTATGTGGTGTGGGTATGTGGGTTGTGTGTGTACAGAGTACGTGTGTA